AGTTTACTTTGTTGTAAATTTTAACTAATTACAATTTTTGTCTCCTTATATAAAAGAAGTTTACACACAGTCTTTCTAAAATGGTTTCATAAGTTTCTAAAATTTTCTAAAACTCTCGCATTTTTATCTAAAACTCTCTCACTCCTCTCTATTCTCTTTGAATTTGAAGGAAAGCTGTAGTTTATTTTTTTGTGAAAAATTCTCATGTCTTTCTCAAAATAATATATCATTTTCGTAGGTATTCTCATTCATAATTTCAACTCCCAGATGTTAAAATGTAAGATTAGATCTGTACATTTTAAATGTGTATTTTGTGTTTATATTCAAATAAAGTTATATAATCAAATTCTATTTGTTTGCTTTACTACAATTCTATTTTTTGGGTATATTTGGTTCATGCACTAGTTGACCACCGATTCCACCAATGACATAGAACTTCTCGTCCATGAAAACACCTGAAGGATAAAATCTCGTTCTTTTTGGATTTACGATCTGAAAGATAAAATCTCATTCTTGTAGTTACTAATTTAAGCAAATTGAAAAGTTGGCTGTCTGTTCTTCCAGTTTACTAACTTGCAATAATAATTATAAGAAACTGTATAATTAAAATTTGAAAAAACATGAAATCAGCTTCTAAGAATTTCAAAGGAAAAAAAATAATGTTATAATGTTAATCAAATATTATTCTTCGGTACTTAAGAGGAATACTACATTGGAGTAAAATATACGAAATACGAAATTGTACTACACTAAATTTTTAATACCTATATATGGTTTCAGTATTTCTATTCAGTCACAATCATGTTTCTATTGGTTATAAAAGATTTTGTGTGTCTAAAATTTAAATGGGAACTACTCGACAATTTCTGTGACATCTGATTGAGTACCTGGATGAATAGTGAATTATTCATAGTTTTTAGATTATGATGTTAATATTTTTTGACCGGAAAAATTGGAAGTAGATAGAGTATTTTTATAAAAAAAAATGAATCCATCTTTATGTTAATTCGTACTATAAAATGTCTTTGTTTGTGAGAAAATATAAAGGAAATAAAAAGAATTATAGAATGGATTACTACCTATGTCTTGATCACGTATAAATAGAAAATTTATGAGAAAATTATCCTAGAAGACACAAGCTCAGTTACCAATTTCACTAATAGACATTTTGAACATATAAGACACATCATGATAGCTAAAAGATCAAGATAACCTCCAACAAGGTAAAGAGATGGTTTTCATCTCTTCTTTCTTCACACCTTCGTTAGCTCAATAAAGAGTAACCCTAACTCTTTTTCTTTTAACAAATTACCTTATCTTTTAAATTTATTAAAACAAATTAGAATTCTCAAATCAAACCCCAATTTCTCGACTCCCTTCCGACGTCTTCTCGTCTCCCTTCTGACATCTTCTTCGCGAATCCCTTCTGACATCTTCTCTATCTCTATTCCCGAGCACACATCTATCGGTGTTATCTACCGCCACTTCCTCATCTTTTCCGTTTCACAGAAAATCTCCAACATGGAAGGTTAGATTTCAATTCCAAAAGCAATGGTGGTGGTTATGGAGGTGACGGTGGATCTTATCTCGAGAGACTTTTCGCAACTGCTAGACGTGGAGGAGATCGTGGAGGCAGTGGTGGATACCATAGTGGAGGTTGTGGTTATGCAAGTGGTCGCAATGGATACAAAGGTGATAATGGAGGTGGAGGCCGTGGTTACAGAGGTACGGTGGATCTTTTGGTCAATGTGTGTGGATGTTGTTGATGTGGTCGGAAGAGTTTTGGATGGAGATCTCGTGGTTTGTGGTTGTGTCTGATGTTTTTAAAAGTGATCGGAAGAAATCTTATCCCGAGAGACTTTTCACAACTGCTAGACGTGGAGGAGATCGTGGAGGCAGTGGTGGATACCAGGAGGTTGTGGTTATGCAAGTGGTCGCAATGGATACAAAGGTGATAATGGAGGTGGAGGCCGTGGTTACAGAGGTACGGTGGATCTTTTGGTCAATGTGTGTGGATGTTGTTGATGTGGTCGGAAGAGTTTTGGATGGAGATCTCGTGGTTTGTGATTGTGTGTGATGTTTTTAAAAGTGATCGGAAGAGTTACTAATGAAGTTCTCGATGGTGGATACGAAAATTGTAATAGCGGTGGAGGAGATAGTGGAGGTGGTGATTAATGGAGATGACGGTGGCTCTAGATCAATGTGTGTGTGGATGTTGTTGATGTGGTCGGAAGAGTTGTGGATGGAGAGTTCGTGGCCAGTGGTTGAGTTGATATTACTGATGTGACCGGAAGAATTGTGGATATGACTCTCGGTGGTAGATACGATAGTGGTAATATATAGAACTAGAGGAGATAATGGAGGTGGTGATTAAAACGAAGATGGTAACTAAAACGTAGATGATAACGAAGGTAGATAAGATAGTGGAAAGGGTGAAGGAGAAAATGGAGGTTGTGACTGAAAGGGAGAAAGTGATAATGGAGGCAGAGGAGAGAGATACTGGTTCAATCTTGTAGAAGAAACTAAAATAATGAAAAAAACAATTTTTGGATTTCTTTTCTAATCGTGTGGTTTCAACTGGATCCAACCAACATTTTCTTTTTTTCTAACCATGCTACTCTCTTTCTCCAAGGCAAGAATGATGTCCAAGATTTCTTCTCTCTCCTTTACAAAGTATCTTTCTTTTACAATGTGTCTTTAGATGTTATCAAAAGTTAAAATGTGTCTTTTAATGTAACACTCTCAAAATTTATTGATGAAAATTCTTTTAATAGGTTGTGTTGTTGTATCTCTGTTCAGGTCTAATAATGTGTGTGTGCGTTGTAAACGATAAACAAAAATTAAGAATCGTCGCATTGTTTTCTACACCAAAACACGACAATCTAAAACAGCCTAAGAGCTACATGACCTAAACGAAGGGTCCAAAAACATTCTTAACAAAACTGCTACTTGCAAGCAACATGTTGAAATATCTTAATGAGTTGATTACACTAAAGGACACTTTTTGTCTTTCCTTTACAATAAGAGACACTTCTCACATTTGACACACTTTTTGGTGAGACCTAAATATTTCTTTGACAGATTTACCCTTAATGAGAAAGAATAAATGTTTGTGGACAGATTAAATTGTGGACGAACAATTTTAACATACATATATGTTATCCATAGACAAGACAATGACAGAGAAAACAGCTTCGCCACCATAGCTGTCGTTACTTTAAGGTTGATTAGCTCGAAAGACAACTCCATGAATAAAGAAATGTAGAAGCAAGGGCAATAGAAGTGTGTGGGCTGGAAGTGTTACATGCAGTGTTTGAGAGATAAACAGCTGGATAGTTGTGGATGTGAGAATTGTGGATGAGAGAGTTGTGGATGTGAGATTTGTGTATGGATGAAATGTGGACATGTGAGGTGTGGATGTGTGAGGTGTGGTTGGAATGTATTAGTTTGCACGAGACATGAGACTTGGAGCTGGTAAATCAAACAACTTCCCTAAACAAGATGCTTTGATAGTTTCAAACTCCTCACTGCCACCAAACGCATGACATATGAAAGCGAAGAGGTCAGGTTTAAAGTAAATTTTTAGACGTCCACATGGTTGCAGGTCAGTCGTTAACAACATCGTTGTGAGGCATTTGTCAGGAACTTTTTGTGCTGCCATAAAATTCAAACGGAAAATGAAATTCAGAGACCTTAATTGAGTAATCTAATTTATAAAACTTGAAATAAATGACAGAATGCAGATCTAAACACTCTCATGTTAATAACAATACAAAATCTCTAAAAAAATAGAGTTTAAAGATCGTAATTGAACAATCACGAAAAATACTTCAAATATCTAACAAGAACATGCATCTTCAAAGGTGATGACTTTCATAGAGATAAGCAAGAATCCTACCTCACATGTCTTTAACACTTCAAGTTGGTGATTTTTGGAGAGAAAACGACCATAAAATTTGAGAAGGTAGAAATGTTAATAGGAAGCAATGAGACATAGCAACAAGAAAGGAGGTGGCTTTCTGAAAAGGAAAGGTTAAAAATCTCCATCACTTTTGGAAATATTTTCTGGAAAAAATGAATTTGAAGGATTAGGGATTTTGAATTGGTAAAGCAAAGAGATAGAGGAGAGAAGGGTCACGTGTTGTTTTGATTATTTAACAAGTGAAAAAATAGAAGAGAGAAAGAGGTGAAGTTGGTTCTTTTTTACTTAAAGGACATTAATGTCTTTCATATAATATAATGTATGTTACAAGTAGGATGTGGCCTATGGTGTAATACGGAAGTGAGAAAGTGACTGAGAGAGTAATAAATTCATATCTTAAAGGACACATCCATCAAGTCTTTAACATTTGCCACTCCTTATCCCAACAAAAAAATAAAAGTGACACCTTCTTTTGTTTGACATAAAAATGACACACACGTAACACCAACATTGTAAAGTGAATCTAATGATTAAACTTGCAGAAAGAAAGTAAAATAGAAGCAAAGAACTCAAAAACAAACACTATATGAACAAAGACTAAAAGATGGTTACAAGCATAAGAGGATTCAAAATTTTATTATTAGAACACAAATAGATTAAAACAAAACAAATACAACGATGTTGGCAACCTCGAAGAATCTTTCAACCTTTTAGCCAACTTATTATAACCTGTTTCACTTTTTTTTCCTTCCCTTTTTGGGACCTGTCTCTAACAATACAGATGAATTGTATACAAATTGAAATTTTTTGTAAGAAAAACAAATATGGAACAAGAAGAAGCATAAAGGTTGGAGCCTGGAACCTTCAGGGAGTCTTTAGATCCATCAACAACAATCTGGAGGGTCTTTCAAATGGAGAGTACTATCAAATGTGAGTTGTTTCAACAACCCATCACTGCACAATTGTACACAAAGTTATGAGAATGTTTCCTATCAAGCAATGTCCACTGCGGCGGACCACCGTCGCTAGGTATCCAAGTGTTCAGCTCAATAAACCCACCACCTCCTAAGCTCCCGGGTCAACCTATAGCAATCAACCTCTCCCCACAAGCTCTAAAAGCAAGCCCCCATCCGTTAACCGAGCCAGCTCTCTCAGGCAATTACCCAACAGTAAACCATCTCTTCTCCTCTTTGTCATACTTCCTCACTTCCATGTCGGTGTGATCAGCAGCATACAGTTGGTTATTCACAACAGCAACAAGAGGAGGTGCGTCATTCGCTGATGACACATCAGTACGGCTTCTTGGAGGCGACAAGTCAATGATATGAGTCCATTTCTTGGTCTCTAAGTCATACTCTTCCCCACAGGTCAAGAGTTTAGAATCAGCACCACCGATACCACCAATGACATAGAACTTCCCGTCCATGAAAACACCTGAACACTTCTTCCTCGGCTTGTTCATCCTCGGAAGAGTCGTCCAAGTCTGAAGCTCAGAGTTATACATCTCAGCGAAATCAAGAATCTTCCTCTGAGAATCAATTCCACCAGCGAATATAGCAATCTCTCCGAGACTCGCGGATCCAAACAAACACCTCGGAGCATTCATCTCCATACCAGAAGACCAAGAGTTTGTTAAAAAGCTGTATCTGTATATAACATGAGACAATTTTTCTTTCCCTAAGACGAGAAGATCCGTCCCAACGGCTATAGACTCCTTATCTGCAAACTTGAAGTTGACACTCGGAGGCATTGTTGGCAGATGCATACACCTTCTCTCTACAGGATCAAACGCAACCCATTCCGAAAGCTGCAAAGAGAAGTAAACCCAATGCTCCACAAACCCGTTCTGCCTCCTTAGCTTATAGATATCTCCACTCTTCACCAAAGAGCGAAAATTCGGGTTCACAGAAGGAATGGAACCATAATCAAACCTGGAGCAGCAGAGCAGACAGTCTATAGAGTTGTCACGACTAATCTCGTAGAAAAGAGAATGAGAATCTGTGGAATCTCTACCGTTTTTGTTGTTAGAATCAGACTGTCCTTGCTCCTGACTCGTTCCATTTGCAGCATCTTCACCACTCAATGAATAGTCAGAAGAATCACAATCGTACACAATCGAGAAGCCCATTAGTTTAAGTGACTTGGTGGGTCTAATGATCTCACCACCAACAACCTCTAAAGGTCTTTTGCCATTGGTTACCTTATCATCATTATCCTCTTGATACATGCAAGATTGGGACCTGGTTGATTCAGAGAAAACCCTTGTACTCAAACACAAATCTGGTGATCGATCTTCGACCATGTCTTTGATGTCAGGGGGAATCAGATAAATTCTTCGATGAGAAATGGATTTAGATGAGAAATGGATTGAGATTTTTTTTATAGTGGATTCAGATTTGAGATTCAATCAATATACCCTAATCGAATTAGTCATCAAGAACACGAAAAGTTTCCATCTTTCAAGATCTTGATCTCCAGATTCCAATCCAATTTCACGGAAAAGGGGGAGAAAGAATCAAACCCGGAAGCATAGAGACTTCCACGTTTAGACCAATAAATACTCATAAATTTTCCAAAATAGAAAGAAATGATATGATATCTTTTAGTTCATGCATTCATTTGTTTCTCTATTTGTTGGGTATATTTGGTTCATGCATTAGTTGACCAACAACAAAAAGGGGTGCATATATATATATTAGGGTTTGTATCTCATTGACTCAGATTTAATTTATTTTTTATTTTTACTTTTTATTTTTTATTTTATTAAAAATGCTATAATAAACTCTGAGTTTCTAATGATACTCATAAATTTTCCAAAATAGAAAGAAATAATATGTTATCTTTTAGTTCATGCATTCATTTGTTTCTCTATTAGTTGGGTATATTTGGTTCATGCATTAGTTGACCAACAACGATAAAGATTTACAAATTTCAATTTTTATTTATACATCTTTCGATTTCTTAAATTTTTATGTTTAAAAATATTTTCAGATAACAACTAAGTATATCTAAGAATTATCTTTTTACATGAATATATATATATATATATATATATATATATATATTTATAATTTTATTTTATTTTATTAATTTATAATTATACAATATAATATATAAATCTAACTAAAAAATCATTTTTAATTTTAACTATATAATAAGTTTTATATAAAATTCATTAAAGGTAATATTGATATTAGTCATTCTAACTTTTAAGTGAGAGTTCGAATGCGAATAATGACTTTGCAAACAATAGTATATAGGGTTAGCTAGTGATGATCGGAATAGAAAAGAACATAAATAACATAGAAGATAATATAATATTGTTCCATACAAAAATATTAATTGTTTTAAATTTATACGTACTAGTAATTAACTACTTTTTTTGTTAGTTATTACCTCGAAGAGCACTCTTAACGGTAAGTATCTTGCCAGAAATATTTAAGAAATATAATAGTATTGATTTTAATATAGCTTAATTAATAACTGAAATTTAAACCATCAAAAACGCTAAACCAATAGTAAAGTAACACCAATGCATAGAATATCTAAGGTTTTTTTTGTTGAGGTTTAGTGAAGAGAAATTTTTCTTCCTCTCTCTCCACCTTTTTCTTATTTTTCCATTTTAAAAAATTCAGATACTCTATTGATATATCTACAATAAGATTGTCCTAAGAGCACGTTTAACGGTGTAAATTTTAAATAAATGTTTTCAGTAAGTTTTTATTAATATTTTAAGATAATTTATCAATTTAATTAAATTTTATTTTCTTTTGAATAGTTCAACCACATAATCAAACATATGACAAATGAGTCAGTTGAAAGATTCTCTACATGTCTCATGTAAGATACTTACTACTCTTGCTCTTTCCTAATTTCTTTTTTCTTTTTATTATTATTATTATTATTATTATTATTATTATTATTATTATTATTATTATTATTATTATTATTATTATTATTATTATTATTATTTCTTTCTAATCTGAAAGCTCTATTAAAAACCTATTGTTGGAGCTACTCTTAAGATTTGCATCCTTGTTTATTAATTGGGTTAGTCACCAATTGTTAGCATTATTTTCATAATTCTTATTTTCACATCTGGGTTCCTGCAAAGCAGTAAAAGAATATCCAATTTGGGATCTATCCAAATTGGCATTTGACGTCATCATTCATTCAAATATTGGTGTGATTTAGATAAGCCTCAACTTCAAAAACTTACAAGCCATGGAAGAACTAGCTAAACGTTGGTCTAAGGCAAAAACATAATTGTTTGTATTGTTCATTTCTTTGGTATTAGGACACAACCAGAAGTGAATAGAAAAACAATTATAGTTGGAACCTAGACGTATTATTTGTATGCGTGTGTGCAGTTGGGGTTGTGTAATTTCATAATAGTATGTGTGTGTGGTGTTAGGGTTGTGTAATTTCATAATTCCTATTTTCACTGCAAAGCAGTAGAAAAATATCCAATTTGGCATTTGACGTCAATATCCATTTAGATATTGGTGTGATTTAGATCAGCCTCAACTTAAAAAAATTAAAAAACCATGGAAGAACTAGCTAGACATTGGTCATAGGCACAACTTTATGTTGGGAATGTCCTAAAATCATTTGTACTTACTTTAGTAGAAGTCGTAACGTCGAGGTTCGATAATCGTATAAAATTAGGTGGTTATAATGTTTTGCTAGAAACCGCTTATAATCTATGAATTATGAATTCATTACTAATTTTATATGATCCTATAGGGTCACACACCTAAACAAATTAGATCAAATTATAATTAAGTTTAATTAGATTAAACTAATGTTAGAGTTAGTGGTGGATTGTATATGGATTAGAATCCATCACGTAACATATCCAAAAAGGCCCATTACTAATAATGATTAATAGGGCTAAGATATGTTTCGTACAGATGAAACAGCCACCATCAAAAACACTAATATACATAGACAAAAGGTTTGTCAAGCTTCAGAGATTTGATATTGACGGCACTAGCATCCCGTTTCGATCTAGTTTGTGTGCGTGTACATACCGATAGAGGCACGACGTTTGGAGTGTTAGGAATCTCGACTTGGTCTATTCATCTTTCCGCTACAGAATAACCAGGTATATTTGAAGAACCTAAAGATCTAGATTATTTCAGTATTGGCATGAGATTCTAGGCAAATAGAATTCATAGGTTGTTTTATAAATCGTTATAAACCGGTATGAATTCCTACAGTGGTATTAGAGCCTACTTGTTTAATACTGAATTTGGATCTTGCATGAACTTGATATGCTTGAATGGTAATAAAAACCTTAATTTGATTACGGATGTAAACACATTGAGTTATTGTTATAGTCGGTATGTGAAAAGTTAAAATTATAATTGGATTATAACTGTTGTTTCTAATTCACATATGGGTTTGAACGTATTAGAACATGTTTGTTTTTTGATTCATGAGTTTATGCATGTCTGTTTAGAACAAAACACGTCTATTAGAGATGTTGATCGATTTCTAAATTGAAAGATATGCGAATATTAGATTTACATAGTTTTGGAAAGATCAATATGATACATTAATATTATATATACTCATGTCGTTGCAATCCGTGCGGATGTAATAGTGATTACATAAGAATATTATATGCATTCATGGAATTTGGTTTATGCATATTTAATTAAAGTAATCGTGTGTTGTGTATTATTGTAATACATAAAAGAGATTTAGTAATTAGTTTGTATGTGCGACCAGTTAGACCGGTTAAACCAGTTTCGGTTTAAATTGGTTAATTTGATTAACTAGGTTTAATGGTATTAATCTTTTGTTTAAAACTAATATGATTAGATTCTGAAATTAATTACATATAATTAATAATTTTAATTAGATTAAAATTATTTGAATTACTTAATTATTTATAATTCAATTTAAATACATATAAGATATGTATTAGTTATATTTATTTTATATTAGATATAAAATTCTAAATATAAATTAAAATTGAATTAAAATTTGTTCCTCAATTAATTTCAAGTATTTTTGATGTCTACCCAATCTTATCAACCATCAAGGCTCGTTTCGTTGTAAGATGGGCTTGCCAAAGCAAGGTGTCTGCAATTACATGAGTGAGATGGATGGTAACGGTTACCATATGAAACAAGATTGGTTTACTTGACTAGGCTATCAAAACGGTTTTGGGCTTAGAGACATAGGTTGGATAAGACATAAGATGTCGTCTAACAACCAAGAATTATATTGGATATAATTAGCAAAGTGTTGCTTACCTAAATAGTTAGAATTCGGGCGATGAGCCAAAGCTCACTCGGATTTTAGTGAAATATGGATCTTGGATTATTATATTCATTTGAGGAAAATGTTTGAATATAATATGAGTTTTCTTAATTGTTGAGATTTCTCAATTCATGAACATCATATTAA